TCCCTCAGGCATTACATATGCTTGTAATGAACTGAACAATGACAATATGATTACATACATTATATTCTTATAAATTGTATTGAATCATGATGAACCACACAACTTAATTATGTATTTATACATATTATGTAAGCAAGGTAATAACATTTCAAATGTATGAGACAATTTAAATTAGTGACTCATTTGGAGTTGATGTCATAGGACCTTTCACAAAAAAAGCTGGCTATGAGGGAGCTTGCCAACTCAAAAAACAGCTTTTTTTTCCTGTGACTTGATAGTATAAAATGCTTATTTCACAAACTGATCATACTGAAAGAAATGTAAGTTTTTGTTCCCTTTTTTGCCTGCTGAAAAGTTTTCCCCTCCAGTCAGTTTCACACAGCAATTGTTTATGTCTGCTTATTTCGGCTATCTCCTGCTTTCCTCACCCTTGCCAGATGGGTTAGAGTTATCGATCGATGGTTGACAGGTGCCTCTGAAAATTTATACACCCATGCCATAATCACAAGGATATCACACCAATTGATTACATTCACTAAAACTAGTAGTGGACAAAAAAGAACTGAAAAGTAACTTGTGAAGAATCTTCAAGAGTTAGATTTGGTGGGATCTAAGTCCAAACATCAAACTGCATAGTTGGCTGCTTTAAAGCACAACATATATAAATATTATATATTATAGAGGGTGACTGGGGATGCTCAGAAAAACATGCACAGACTCAGACAGTGCATAGACTTGGGGCACTTATGCTTAAGGAAAATCAGGCAAAATATATTCATGCTATGAAAAGGCAATCGGAATAATAATGACCGAATAGGCTGTCCTAGCTGAGCTGAGAGTGTTTGTGTTCTCTTTGCTACCATCTTGTGTCTGCCTGGATTCTTGCAGAGCACAAATGGGAGCCCTATGAATAAGCTGAAGGTTTGTATATATTTTAAAACACAAAATACACAGGCTGAGTATATGTTTGCTCTATGGCAGTGGTGGCGAACCTATGGCACAGGTACCAGAGGCGGCACTCGGAGCCCTCTCTGTGGGCACATGTGCCGTTGCCCCAGCCTTGCCTCCCCCTGTGACCCCCTCCTCTCCAGCAGCCCCCCTGAAGAGAGTCACCCCCGAGCGTGGCCCACACGGAGCAGCGCAGCCAAGGACATGGCAGCCAGGCACCATAGACAAGACTCTGCCCTCACACCCCATCATGCAGTTGATGCTGCAGGGCGCAGACACAGGGTTTAGCCGCCATAGCACTGCTGGGCTGCCTGGGCGATCTGTGGTGGGCCCTGGAGGCGGTGAGTGGTCCTGTGGGCAGGCGGGGCAGGGGATGGGGGTTGAGCGGGGGCAGGGCAGGGGGGTTGAGCGGGGGTGGGGCCAGTTTTTGGGCACTCAGTCTCTAAAAGGTTTGCCATCACTGCTCTATGGCTATGCTACCCTACAGATCCTCAAAATTCACCCCTTTCACCATGGCTAGGTGAAATAACTTACGTTTGTTAATTCTCTCCAGGGCCTACCTCAATTAGTTGCATTTTTCTTTGTTGTATTCTTGGAAAGGTGGATTGCACTGACGGTTGATGCCACATTTCACAGAATGCCAGCCTTCCAAATATTTTCATTTATTAAAACAAATGAACAAAAATAGAAGGAATGGGAACCAAAACCCACACAGGGATTGTGGTAGCAGGATTCACAGCACTACAGTGAAGACCGCAGACATAATATAATTCTCTGGAATTCCATCAGCATTTAAATGTTACAAATAATAATATGTTCATCTCACTATACACTCTTACAATGTGGGGGGACCACGTGTTAAGGACCTTTGTGACATTTAGTGGCTGGGCAATCATCCAGGCAAGCAAAAAGAAAACAAGATGCTGAGCCAATTATTCAGTCCTAGTTTTGAGTTTATTTAGATGTGGGAATATTAACAGCAAGCAAGAAGAGCCAGCTTGTTCAATGGACATTCTGTAGAGGATCAAATAATTACATCTTTCAGAAAGTTTAAATAATAATATTTGGCCATAAAAACATGGTTCAAAGAGGGATACTTAAATTTTGAGTACATTTGAGAAACAGATGTAGAACTCAGAGCTAAATCTCTACTTGTTGAGATGATCTCATCATTGGAGAACGGAGCCAGAGGTTCTCTTGATTCTCTTTGTATACTATAGAACCTTTCAGATAGATTTTTCCTTGGTACAACTACACTAGTTTTTGCCTCTGGGCATAATCAGAGAGTCAGGTTAATAAAAATATATGTTGCCCCACCATAACATTTGCTGTCCTAACTGTTGAACCTTTTTCTCTCAGTAATGAGGTCAGCTAGCAGTGCTATCCTTTAAAAAGGGACAACATAAGGAAGGTGGTTTGGTGGATTGCCCTGACTTTATTTACCCTTTCACTGAGCATCCCTTTTCTATCAGTAGAAAAACAACCACAGATTGTTCTGTCTAATGTGGGGTGAGCCTGGGGGAGGAGGCAGGTTTTGACAGATGGCTAGACTCTGGAGTTCATGCATAATACTATATTTATTTTAAGCATTTAGCAGACCAAAGAGTAACTTAATAATCAGCAGCTTTTATGATATTGTTGAGTAAGGATCAACAACAACAACAACAAAGCACTGAAACTAAGCATCAGGAAGTTGTCCAAAGAAGAAGGTATTAGACACACAATTCAAAATAAGTATACATGATAAAAGGACATGTTCTGAGTTGAATCAAGAAAAGTTTAGTTTTTGGAAGAAACCTAGAGTTTTATCACAGGGCTAGATCAGTTACATTCTTGGTCTGTGCCAAAACAATCAATACTTTTTCTTGATTTAGTTTTGAACTACACCGGTACCTTCTCCTCCATATCAGCAATCACATAAGATACAACAGTCCAAAGAGCAGCACAGAGATTCATTTTGACTGGATCCTGAACCGTCATTGTGTCGCCTTGGGAATGGTGAAACCAGAAGTATTTAGTGATATCATTACTCAAACTGGCACCTGTGGAGAATAGCACAATGGGATTTCCTTGTCATGTGAATGTTATAAATTTAGACAGCATCTTTTAGATTACGTTTCATTAACTCCGAGATAGTAAATCTGTAATCTGATAGTGTGAGAAACGACATAGAAATATAGAAGGAGATAACCTAGAAAGGAAAGGACGGAATCCAGTGCTTTCCTCTCAGCTTCTATTGTTTTTTTTTCCTGAGGTCAGGCCATCCTCTGATCCCAGCCAAGTCAGAGCTAGGTAGGCAACAGATTAAGCTTGAAAGCATTCCATGCCTCCAGGCCTTTTCCATCCCTCCCGATCCATTGGGAAATTTAACCAGCTATTTTGCTATCTAAACCATGTTTTCTTTAAATTTTAAGCACAATGGTTGGGGAATTCTGTGAGATGAAGTCTACACATCTTAACATTGCTGAGGTTGAGAAACACCAGTCTAAATTAATTTCTTCACACTGCTTGGAATGGGAGAAAACCTTAAGAAGCAGAAGTTCCGCAGGCCGATGGGTGGGTTGTAAACCTATGGTTATGATTGTCCTACTTTCCATAAGGTGTGTGAAATGTTTTTAAGTCACTCTGCTTGTTTTTGCCACTGCAGAATGACTGGAATAATTTGAATCAGTTTTGCAAGATTAAATGCAAATAAAAATGCTGATTAATTATTTTTAAAATATGGATGATTCTATTTATCATGTTATTATTCCCCCTAGACTTATTTTAGGGAATATGGTTCTCAGAGGTGTGAGATCCTGAGACATGTTCTGAAGTTAAATCTCTTCCTAACTAGAGATTTTTCCATCTGTGCTTGGAAACACTGAGCAAATAACAAAACCCCTCCTCCTCCTCCTCCTCCATCCTCTTGGGATGTGGTTGGAAAGAGGAGGAGACTGGTCTTAAGGGGAACCATTGCAGTCACCTGGGTGTAAACATGATTTCACTGCTTTAGAGTGAAATTTAGATTTCACTGCTTTAGGAATCTCAGAAGAGGGTGTTTCAACATTGGTCTCTGAAGAGGCAGAGACTTATGGGAGGAAGACAGGAGTTTCTACTGGAACTTTGCCAACTGATTCCAAAGAATGATATCTGCATTAATTAATTTTCAAGAATTACAGTTAGCATGATGGGAGACTCTTCTCTTCCAGTCTACACCTTGGCGACTTCTTACAAAAATACAACATTCAGATTGAGCATCCAGAAATCATTGTTTGTTATTTGGTGCAGTCCCATAATTGTGGATTTTTTTTTAAAGCTCTTCTTTCTTTAAAAAAAACTAGCATGCAACATAATTTTAGCATTGTTCCAATAATCAAAACGATGATGGGATGGTATCAAATAACTTTTTAAAACTATTTAAAAGTGTTCTATGAATTTATTGGAGGTTTTACAATGGATGACCTTATTAGAAGCTTAAATAGATTTTTAAATTTTAAATTTTAAATTCTACATTATTTCTAAATTTACAAAGGATGAATTCTGCAGATGGGATGGGGTGGAGGTGCTCAAGAAGGTGCCAGAATCTTGATCACATAGTTGTGGCCACCATCTTGAACTTTTTTAACCTTTCTGTATAGGAACAAGGACACCATTTTACTTTACAAAGTTATTCCAAAGTCACGCCTATGAAAGCTCAAGGCTTGTCATATAAGATAATGCCTGGTATGTCATCATTTTTTTCAAAACTGTCCCCATAAATCAGCATTTAGTTGTCATTCAAAATTTTGCAGTGCAGTTCGCTAACCAAAACAAAATAAGCAAATAGATCCATAACATATATTAATAAAAATAATGAAACTGTTTGGAAAATAGCATACACACAAAAAAGTATATACAATTTTATTACAGATATTTTAACACCGCCCCCCCAAAACCGAAAGTCAACCTCAAACAAATACATTATGTAACAAATCCCACTAAAAGAGGGAAAATTGAAAGGAACAAAAATTGGCACATTCTCAAAAATGACAAAATTGAAGGAAATAAAACGGACAGATTTATTCATTCCTAGACGTTTGACCCCTAGCCAAAGTGCTTAATTTTTCCTTTACCCTGATGCTAAATGTTGCTCCCCTGAAATAAATGAAAATATGCCTTTGGCTTTGAATTGCTTAATAGCATCCTGGTTAAATTGAAACCATTATTTGCGGCAATCCAAGAAATTCTTGGCATGTGTCATGAATGATATTGTGGTCTGGACCAAAATTGCATTAGCTTCCAAGAGTTTATTGGGAGCTTAATGATTCCATAGCTCAGAGCATCTGCAAAACTGGGAAACATGACACAAATCAGCTCCCAAAAGATGTTGCAGTGAAGAAAACTGACAGGAAGCCTGAGATGGTGCATAAAATATCTGTTTAAGTAGAAGAAGAGTTTCAACCAGATGCCATAGGAGCAGTATCATGTTTCTGTGTGAAGATAATGGGATGGGTTCAATCCAATGCATAATAATAATTACATTTATTGGTTATTTGGCATCTAAATATTGCACTGCATTTCTCTTTTAGTGCTTCAGTATTTTGAAATATGGGATGAATTCATGCCTATTGCACATCATCCTAACAGACAAGTAGTCTGGGTGGTCTCAAAACCTGCATTTCAAGTAAATTCAAAGGAAAACAGAAGAGGAAAAGAGAAATGAAAGCAAATATTAAAATAGCCAGAGTTCCACTGGATGGAACCACAAAGTTCCTCCTGGAAGATAGAGAAGGTGCATCTTCCCAGGAGACCCTGGGCCAATAGGATATGCAATATGAGCTCTCTGCTCCCAGGGTAGCTGACATTTAGAACTGAATGTTCTTTCTGTTTTAATTACAGTAAGGTATATACTATAAGATATCTCCTCCTGAATAAGAGAAGGAGAGGCAGAGTCATTGACAGTGATAGAAGATATATTTAGCAGGTTCTGAAGTGTAAAATCTTGCTTGCTTTTCTTCACATTATCTCTTACTTGTGTCCTAAGATGGTTCTGCGTTAAAGGCCCCGGATTCAGATGCATGCTTTTAAGCCAAGGGGGCAGAGAGAAAGACACATATTTATCATTGGTGTGTAATCTTCATCAACACTGAAGCCCCCCAGAATTCCCAGGGTTAATTCTAATGTATCACAAACACATGTTGTTGATTTTTTTACATAGAAAAAAAGCAGACTACAAATAAAAATATTGTAATAAAACAATCTATGATTTTCATGGAGAAAAGCTACATTGTCATGCAGAAAATCAATCTGTGTGGTTGCTAAGAGTTCACACCAGTTTGATGGCACATAATCAATAAAAGGAAGGGTGGGAAAATGTTGTTTGATAAATCTGAATTTGCATTATCCACTTCTTTCACAAATTAGGGGTAGCAAGCTGTCTTGAATGTTTGATGAGCATGGAAATCTGGAGAGAGATTTGAGTGCTGTTGATATTGAATAGTAAGTAGATGACTAAGCAACTTCATTTTTAATTGATTTGGGTGTTTAAAAAGTCAAGCCACATGCCACCCTAACAATGACTATTTGCAGCTCCAAAGTGCTTGGCAGGCTCTGCATAGCCAAGGGATAACTTAAAATGTAATAGGTAAACTAAAACCATTATGCAGGAAGTCTGCCCTCCCAGAGTCACCTGACCTGAGAGATGGAAGGCAAATAAATTTGATCAATCAATCTTACTTTTTCTCCCTGGTAGTACCCAAATTCTAGCCTTCTGCGGGCTTAAAAACAGTACATAAGGGGCTAATCCAAGCTACCCAGCAATCTGAGATTCAGCTGGAATAAAATATTTTATAAATGTATTTAGTTAAAGCATCACTACTGAACAAGTCCAAAATACTTTTGTCTCGACTGACAAGAGCAAAGTTTTCTTTGGCACAATTAGGAATTCAGAATCTCTGTTTTGCTCCATATTGGTTTTGCCGCTCTAATAAAATGCTTAATAGCTGAAAGGAGGCTGATCTGTGGCTGGTACCTTGAAAGATAGATAGCAGAAACCTTCATGAGTTACTGGCTTTCTGCTATTCAAGATAGTCCCTGCTTTTTAAACTCAACAAATGTATTTTCTCTGTGGGTGCTGCTGTGTTATAACCCATCTTCAATAATACTTCAATAGATTATTAAAAATGTTTGGTACTTTTCTTCTTCATTAGCTTACCCTAACTGAAACTTAAACAGTTTTTTTGGGTGATTGGGAATTATATTAAATATTTTTAAGAAGGCATTGAACCCAATGCAACAGCCGCAAAATTAGTATTTTTTGGCCCCCTCGCCAACACTGCTTTGGGATCGCTGTGTTAACAAAACTATGTAGAGCTATTTTGGGGCTTACAGTGTAATTGGCATTAAGTATAGGTTTACTTTAAACTGATGGAAAATCAGAGGTATTCCATGGATTGCAAAATCTGATACTAGGAGCTCTGTATGTGTGTGTGTGTGTGTGTGTGTGTGTGTGTGTGTATTTTCACAGAAACTGTGATATAATGTGAAAACAGTAAAGCATTTTTCCTCCAAACATTAATTCTGCCCCGCAAAAGCAAACGAAGAGCACTGTCTTTGCAATCTTGATTCTTAGTTTCATTACTAAACGTAGTGTGGATTTGGCCTTATAGATCTGATGTAGAATAAGTGAAAGTAGATTTTAAGTTGTGGCTCCTCCTTCCCCCATTTTTTAAAGGCAAAATTTGCATGGCCGGCGTGCATCATTTCAATTTTTCACTTCAGACGCCGCAACCTCTAGCACTGGCATCATTCCATGAGATTAAGTGAGCTGATTTGTGCCTTCAGCAATAGACAATACACTAAGAATTTTGTCAAATCAAGCCAAAGTGATCAAGAAGTTAATGTAGTTCCAGTGCCATTAACTCTGTCACTGAGCCTCCACACTTGAAATTACTGAGGAAAATAAATGGTGCTTGAGTTATACTGCTATAGACCTTGAAATAGTTTCCGGCACTGAGTTTATAAATAACACCAGAAGTCCTGCTGTTTTACCTCCTGTTTCACTCTTCTCCAAAGCTTTTAA